GCGATGAAGTTGAACTTGTACCTCGGGCTGCTCAGCTGACGGAGACCTGCACTGGCAGAGGCGGCAGGGGTGTTAGTGAGGTGCACACCGCTGGTCCCCGGGGACCCGCACCCCGCGCAGGTGGAGAGGGCTGGCCCCAGAGCCCCTCTGGGTGCAGGGCCGCCTCAGCTTACACTCAGCCCCTGCGGGGACCCTCCCATACAGCAGTGCGGCGGCATCCTGGTGTCAGTGGTACCGTGACATGTGGCCAGCAAAGCATTGTCACGTGACCTCTCCAGGCTCAGTCAGGCCAGCCGAGAGGCTCAGAGAGGGTCCAGCACCTGCCTGGGGCCACACAGCAGGGCTGGCGCAGGGTCAGCCCCCCGGGCACTTGCCTCCAGCCCCAGCCTGTCGGGGTGTCGTCCTGTGATGGTCTGTGAGTTGCTGGGAGGCTGGAGGCTAGGCCACCCGTGTTTCAAATCCCCAGGGCGGTGAGGGTTCAGCAGGGCTTCCAGACCGAGACCCGGGAGAAAGGCCCGTGACGGCCTTCGGAAAACCCGCCAGCGAGACCCACGAGGGTTGCAGCCGAGCACGGTGTGACAGCTACGAGGGGGCCCCCGGGCCAGAGAGCACTCAGCAAGCACAGGCGGCACGGACCCCGGCAGGCCCGCGCTCACAACTGGCCGCGTTTTCTTCGGTGACAGGCGGGCTTGTTCCGACTTGGAACCAGCTCGACCCCAGCTAGCACAGCAACGCTCGCCCGCGAGAGAAGCGGCCCCTCTCTGCCGGCTCGGCGGGGCCCCCCGAGCCCCGGGGCTTGTGCAGACTGGGCTGGGCTGCGGGGGGCACCCAGGTTGGCTCTACCTGAGCCCCGCCGGCCGCTGACTCCTGGGTGCACAGGGCCCACGCCTGCGTCGGACTTGGCTGCGTCCCAGGAGGCCCTGCCGTGGTTCACGAACTTCCCTGGAACCCGCCCGGCTCAGATTTCTGCTCCGTCAGCAGAAGGGCTGCCGGCACCGCAGGCCCAGAGCACGTGAGTGGCAGGAGGCCCTCTCCTTGGCCCCTCGGCGCGGGCGCGTGCCAAGGCCTCCCAGGTCCCGGACAGGCTGACGCTCTCTGGAACCCACGCTGCCTGGCGTGGCTTGTAGTGAGCACTGGGCCAGGGGTCACCCCGCCCAGGCTTGGGCCCCACCACCTTCCAGCTGTGTGGCTTTCCGTGCATCAGTCACACTCTCTGGGCCTCGACTCCTTGCCTGAACCGTGGGGCCATAGGAATTGGGTGCGAACGGGATTTGCAAACCATGTTGCTGCCGCCCCGTGGGGCGCCTGCACCCCAACCCTGATGACTGTGGGACAGGGCCAAACCTGAGCATTTAGTGGAACACGTCTGTTCCAGGGTGACTGGACCGGGTGCCATGAGGGCAGTGGGGCAGGGGACCCGCAGGACGAGGCCCCCCCACACCCCGAGGGGGGGCGTCCTTGCCGTCAGCCAGGGCGGGGTCACTGCCTCATTTTCAAAAACACACTTCACTTTTCTGAGCAGATTTAGTCCCAGAGGGGATGCTGGCGGTTCACACAGTTAACGGGCTCGGCTGAAAGGCGGGGGTTTGAATCACCCACAGGCGACTTGGAAGAAAAGCCTCATGAAATCACTGAAGGATCAGCCACTGAAAACCCCACGGGGCCGACTCTGCTCGCGCGGAGCTGCCGGCACACAGGGCCAACTCGCTGCAAGTGGTACAGCAGCCAGCTGACGCGACACACGGTGAAACCCCACGGGCCGACTCTGCACGCGCGGCGCTGCACACACGGTTCTGCACACACAGTCGTGCACACACGGAGCTGCCGGCACACAGGGCCAACTCGGCTGCAACTGGTACAGCAGCCAGCTCGCCCAGCACACACATCACTGCCATCTGTCTGTGTCTGTCATCTGTCTGTCTATTTATCATCTATCATCTGCCTGTCCATCTATCACCTATCTATCTGTCTCCTTATCTGTCTGTCCATCTGTGGTAGTTAAGTTTGGGTGTCAATTTGGCTGGGCCTGGTTGAGTGGCTGGGCAGCTGGATGTAGTTATTCCCATGGTGAGACTGACCATCAACTCCATGGTGAGTACCATGGCTGGTATACCAGCTGTACTCGAGTTGACCCCATGTGCCACAGTTCCATGCGTGTAGACAGGCAGACGGCCAGAGTGGAAGAGTGGGATCTACTGTGAGCAGCTGTGTAGCTGCCTTAGGGATGCGGTCTGCTTCCTGTATATAAGGAGAAGCCCTGGGGGATGGCCTCTAGCTTATGGCACGCTTGGACCCTGCGTGTAGCCATGTCGTTGTTCAATAGCCTGCCATGCTCTGCCGAGCTTGGGACTTCATCTGGACTTGAATTAGTGGCCTGCCGTGTGGTTTGGTAACATCAGGACTGTGCCTTTTTACTTGTCAACCATGGGCTTGTCAGCCTCAGCAGCCAGCAGCTGTCTGAGTGAAGAAAGCCTCCAGCTTCAGTGGCCAGGAGCAGGAGGCAGAGCTGGACCCCAAGGTTGAGGGCCTTTCACCCAGCCCCTAGAGCCTGGCACTTTGAACTCAGACTCAAAGCCTCCTAACTGTAAGAGAATGAATCCCTGTTTGTCCAAGCCTCCCATTGATGGTGTATTCCTGGGGAACCGGAACACTGTCATCTTTCCATCATCTGTCCCTCTATCTGGCGCCCCAGGGTGCAAACAGTGGGCATGCCCAGCTGTCAGCTGAAGGCTGGAGGTTCGAGTGCAGCCAGGGGTGACCTGGAAGAACCGCCTGGTGATGGACTTCTGAAAAGCCCCTGAGGACCTGGTGGGGCCAGGTCTACTCTGAGCCTCCTGGGGACCGGTGAGTGGGAGCTGGGGTTGACTTCATGGGAACTGTGCTACCGGGTTTGCAGAAAACGTGGAGCAAGCAGAGTTCCGTACGCCGCTCCCTGCGCCACCCATTACTAGCATCTTGCAGGCCTGTGGTTCACCGATTACAACGTAGTTACAACCTAGGGGCCAATACTGAGACGTTACTAACTAGTTCACAGCTTACATTAGGGTAGTGCCTCCATTTCAAAGGTATGGAAAACGGGGCTCAGTGAGAAGGTGCCCCTTGACCCAGCACACAGTTAACTACAAGAGACACCAGGCTCCGGGCAGCTGCCAGGTTCCCTTCCCTAGGTGTCCCCCTCTGTCCCAGGGCTCCCCAAAGCCCTGCCTGTCCGTTAAGCCAGAGCTGGGTGTCTGACTAGACAAAGGGCTGCCCTCATGGCGGAAGCACTCGGCTGCCAACCAAAAGGTCAACAGTTCTAACCCACCAGCCGGGAGAAAGATGAGGCAGTCTGCTTCAGTAAAGATGACAGCCCTGGAG